GTGGCCAGGGAGTGCAGTGGAGGATGGCCCAAGTGCTTGGGCCCTGCACCCCATGGGAGACCAGGATAAGTACCTGGCTCCTGCCATTGGATCAGCACAGTGCGCCGGCCGCGGCAGCCATTGGAGGGTGAACCAACGGCAAAGGAAGACCTTTCTCTCTGTCTCTCTCTCTCTTACTGTCCACTCTGCCTGTCAAAAAAAAATCATTTTATTAAAGAGATGCTTCTATTCCTGTGTTTATTGCAGCACAATTCAAAATAGCCAAGAGGTTGCATCAGTCGAGGTGTACATCAGTAGATAAATATATAAAAATGTGGGTAATATATCACAATGGAATATTATTTAGCCATAAAAATGAAATTCTGTCATTTGCAGCAATATAGACTAGAGGACATTATATTAAGTGAAATAAGTCAGGCACAGAAAGACAAATAACACATGTTCTCTTACGTATGTAAAAGTTAACAATTTGATTTCATAGAAATAAGGAACAGGACAAGGGTTACCAGAGGTTAGGAAGGGTAGGGGGTGAGGGAATAGAAAGACATTGGTTATCAGATACAAAGATATATTTAGGGAAGAAGAATAAGTTCTGGTGTTCCATAGCATGATAGGGTGAGGATAATCAACAGTAACTTACTGTATATTTCAAAATAACTAGAAGAAAGGATTTTGAATGTTCCCCAGGCAAAGAAATGACAAATATTTGGTATGATAGAAGTGCTAATTGCCCTGACTTGATTCCTACACATTGTACATATATATTGAAATACTAAATTTTACCTCATAAATATTACAATTATGTGCCCATTAATATTAGGTCACATTTTAAATAATAAGCATAAAAGTTTTATATGCTAGTTATGCATGTTATATATAAGTAAATGTATATATTTTATTTTTTTTTGAGAGGCAAAGAGAGACTCATAGAAAGCTCCTATCTGGTGGTTCGCTCCCCATTTGCCTACAGTGACTGACTCTGGGCCAGGCTGAAGCCAGAAGCCTGGAACTCTACCCAGGATTCCCACATGTATGGCAGAAACCCAATTACTTGAACCATCAATGTTTCACACAGTCTGCATTAGCCTGAAGCTGGAGTCAGGAGCTAGAGTGAGGTATCAAACCAGTGTACTAGATTCTGGGATGTGGGCATTGCATCTAGTGTCTTAACTGCTAGGCTAAACACCCACCCCCAACTAGCTGTATGTTTTAAACGTCTATGAGAATAAATATGGAGCTCTTCTTGTTTTAAAATTTGTCTGTTATCTAAGATTTTGACACATATGCCAGCCTTTGGGAAACTGTTCTGATGAAAAAAGCCATGCAAATTGCAGCTCTGTATTTTTGTGTCACAAGCGAGTGTCCCTGGCTCAGTGTTGTAAATGTGTGATGTATAGTACAGCAGACATGGAATAAAGTCTTCTAGGAGCACTGGGCCACATCTTTGCAGTTGTAATGATCGGTTAGGTCTTCCTAGGTGTTTGAGTGATGGTGAGCAGGGCTGGTGAGTTGGTGGATGCAGGCTGTGCTAAGCATACTTGAGGGCTGTTGGCCTTCAAGAGCCATTTCTTTATAGTGATCTTTCTGCAGGGCTGGGGAGCAGAACTTTTCACCAGGCTGTGTGGAGAACTGAACTTCATCCCTGGCTGAAAATCTCCATTTCCAAGAGCTCATAGTAAAAATTATCACATGGATGTACATTTTCTCTAATCCAGGTCTAGAATGTTAACTGGATTGGTCCAAATATGATAGGGATGCAAGGTATTGCATTTAAATGTAGATTTATAGCACTATTTTATTATATATACTTAGACTTTGAGCCTTTTGAATTTAAGCAAATTTATTCACTTCATAAGATTGTTTTTAATTTGAAAAAGATCCCTATCCAATCCTTTTTAAAAAAATTGACTTCAAGTACTAAAAAAAAATAAGAAAAATTATCTAGATTTATTTATTTATTTGCAATGCAGAGTTAGATGGAGGGAGGGAGGCGGAGAGAGGGAGAGAGAATGAATATCTTCCATTTGCTGGTTCACTCCCCAAATGGCCTCAACAGCTGGAGCTGAGCCAGGCTGAAGCCAGGAGCCAAGAACCTCCTTTGGGTCTCCTACATGGGTGGAGGGGTCCAAGCACTTGGGGGCATCCTCTGCCACCTTCCCAGGCACGTTAGCAGGCAACTGGATTGGAAGTGGAGCAGCTGGGACTTGAACTGGCACCTATATGGGATCCTGGCTCTGCAGGTGGTGGCTCCATCCATTGTGCCACAGCTCCAGCCCCTGGGAATATTTTTTATGTATTTTAAAAAAATCTGTTCAGTGAAAGCAACACTAAGACCTAAAGGAATTCTTGCAGTTTATGTGTTAGAAATCCTTGTTGCCTGGATCCGAGTTTTTTTTCAGGCACTGAAGTATGCAGATGGTTCATATTGATTGGGGAAGATGGGGCCTCCTTGTAAGATTCAGATCTGGGGAAATAAGAGTTGCATGTTAGACTAGTTGGAGACAAAAAGAATCATTCAACCTGTTGTATGGATCAGCTTGGCCCTTTGAAGAGCGGCAGAATGATCACTGAATGATGTTGCTTGACACGCTTTTAGAAAGCTTGTAGTATTGATTAGATAGATTTACTTATTCAAATGGCCATAATGATCTTATGAAAAATAATTTGTAATATGGAAGTGATTATAGTTTTAAAATGTGTGCATTTGAGAATAGCTCTCAGAGGATGTGCTGCACGTACGAATACCAAGCTGCAGACAAGGCTGGAGTAATTGACCACAGAGGGCTGTTTTTATGGAGAGTTTAAGTGTATATGATTGTTTTTCCTGAATTGTATTAGTAATAATAACTTACCCATGTCCGCCACCATGCATATGACATTTTACTGTTCTACAGAGTGCTGTAGCATATATCATCGTATTTGTCTCTCACACCAACCCTGGGAGTAAGTTAGGACATTTGTAAGTGTCAACACTGAAGTCTTTTGCTTGAAATAAAGTCTCATGAATGGCAAGAAAAAGATGCAGTGGACACACACGTATTCTTTTTCCAATATTTTTGATCAGTGTCATAGCAAGTGTTCAAATTGGGTTAGGACATATCCTTCCCTGCAGAGAGACCATATCTCATTTCTTCCACCTACTAGGAAGAAGAAAGAGCAAATTATGTGAGTACAGTCTCAGAGGAGAACATGCAAGATTAAAGGTTAAAACCCCCTTTCATTTCACGCAGTTAATAGCCAACTCTTGGGTTTCTTATTGAACATATTTCTCTCTACCTTTTCTGCAAAAACACGCCATTGGTGCATGTAGAGATAGTTGCAATAAACAGACTATTTTGTTAATAGTGAGTAACCTGGATTATACTTTGTGGAATATTTTGGACTTTCCTGTTTTACTAACGGCAGTGTTGGAAAGCACAGACAAAAAGCTACACAGTATAGTACATAGCTAAATTGGAAAAGTGAAACTAGGACTCCAGAATCCTGGATCCTGTGCAGAGAAATAATCAAATAATTTATTGTAATGATTATTTCTACAGGATGCAACTCTAGGACTAAATGCTAATTTTATTTGACTTACATAAAGGGAAATTATTACTGCAGTTACTTTTAAAGATCTCCCTGGGTTTCCTGGGAGTATCTGAATTAACAGTAAATTGCGTCCCATTACATATTAATGGGTCAAGCTGATTTATTGGTGGTATATCTGGCAATTAGCCATTCTGCATAGGATCTTCTGTTTGGCCATTACTTTTTCACTATTGAGTGCAAGCTTAAGAATGAATGCTTGAACCAATGGGGAGGTTTGCCTGTAAACCTAATAGCGCCTTGCATCATCTTAATGGTGAGTTATGATCTGTCTTGAAGGATATTTGGACACACTTAATATCTTTTGGATGACAACCATTGGAGGCATAAATGAAAGTACATGTTGTCATTGAACCACTAAAAATCTTTACCCAGTCACCAGATAGCCATTATGTTATATGAATCTCTTTGGATATTTCTTTTATTTTTTTAAATTATACAATTGCTTTTAGCTTCTGTGGCACTTATAGAATGAATTGCTGTGAATGGGCTGTAGCACAGCGAGTTATGGCCAACAGTGACTCTTAGAAGACTCTTTGGGGTGCCTAATTTGTCCTCAAGAGAAATATTTTTTTGCTCAGCCTGCAAAATGTTGTAATAAAAACCGATGATTGATGTTGATTATAAGATTAAGTGGCGGGGCTACAGTGGTCAATTTCATCAATCAAAGGAGCCTGAAGTTGTGATTGGCCACTAGAGAAAGTTTTTAGGTTTTTTTTTTCTAGATGAGTCAATGTATTTCAAGTCTTTGTAATATTGACTCATAAAATTTATTGAAACTGTATTTAAAACATCATTCTACAGTGTTTTTAATATGTTTCTAACACAATTTGTTTTTGCTTACCTAAGCTTTCTATTGCAGAAGAAAATACTTGAACATTCCCTTCTTATAGACAAAGCAGTTTAAGAGTTGGTGAGAGCATGGGAGTTGCTAAATCCAAGGTGATTGCCTGATAACTGCTCAGAGTTCACTTCTCCTCCCTAACAACTTCTTTGTGGGAGGGAAGCCTTCCCCATTATCTGTAGTCTGGCACCATTCTTCCCAGTCCAAGGGGCTAGCCCTTGAGACAACATAGCCAAATGGATGTCCCTCTCTGGAATTTGACTCTTGAGTAAATCAACACTAGAAGTTTGGCGTTCCTCATTTCCAGCCTTATCAAATTGTTTTTACCACTCCCATTTCCTGGCCATCTGAGTAATAGTTGTTTTCTAAGCCTGTTTCTCCTGCCTTTGGGAATTTTGCCAACCCCTGGATAGGATCCCCAAAAATGCCCCTTTGATAACCAAGCTAGTGGTGCCTTCTCTTCCCTGAAATAAAAGACCATACTGTGTAAATTCAGAATTTGTGAACCCACAAACAGGATTGGGACTATGAACATTCATTTATTCATCAAGTGTTTATTGAGCACCTACTATGTGGTAAGCACTGTTAAGATTTATTTATTTTATTTAAAAGGGAGAGTTAGAAAAAGGAAGATAAAGAATATCTTCTATCTGTTGGTTCACTCCCCAAATGGCTGTGATGTCTGGGGCTGGGCCAGGCTGAAGCTGGGAGCCAGGAACTTCTTCCAGTTCTTCCACGTGGATGGCGGCAGTCCAGAAACTTGAGCATCTTCTGCTGCTTTTCCAGGAACATTAGCAGGAAACTGGATTGGAAATGGAATAGATAGAAGTTGGACAAGCACCCATATGGGATGTTTGCATCACAGACTATGCCGCAATGCTGGCCCCTTGGTGCTCTTCATAACACTTGAGAGTTTAAATAGGGAATAGTGAATAAAATAGTGAATAAAACAGAAATCTGTGGTTTTATGAAATTTGTATTCTAATGAAGTGAAATTGACAAGCAATATGTTATATAAATATGATTTAAATGCATCATGTACATGTTTGTTAGGTGATAATATGTACTGCACATTTGTGAAATATTTCTCTTATTGATTTTCTTTTTGGGGCTGAGACAGGTGATGGAATGATGGAGACAGGGCGCTGAGACATTTCTGCATAGATCTCAAAGGGATTTCAGTTGAGGCCTGAATCAGAAGCAAAGTATCCCATTGAAAGAGGATGAGTAGCTGCTGAAAGTGGAGATCCGGAGAATGGGAGCTTGAGTTATGAGAGCTTGGAAATAGCAGGAGGTAAACCAGACTGTCATCTTGCTGGGGAGAGATTGCCCCACTGGGGGTCTGCCTAGGCCCAAATGGTTAGGTAGAGCAGCAGTAAAACTGAGGTTTGGATAGATGACTTGGAGCAAGGATAGAAACTTACCTGTGGTAGGGGAGAATTATTGAGGTCAGAAAGAGAAGGAAGCCTCGTGGGATGTGTGATAAAACTGGGTAGCAGTTCTTAGAACTAGTCAGGGACAGTGCAGGTGATGAGAGATTTCTACCATTATCCATGGGGATCTTGGAAGGGATGAAAACCTAGAAAAGAAATCAGACTCCATTGAGAAGAACATGGGTTTGGGAGGTCAAATGGAGTATTTGTATTTTTGCCTAGAATGAAATCTAGTATTGAGGACACTCTCTACATTGATGTACATACTTGAGGACAAACTGAAGGAGTCTAGTGAGCAATGCTAGCAAGTAGTTAAGCTAAGCAGCTAAATTAAGTATGGAAAGCAGAGGAGAAAGATAAGGCAGGGAACTTCATGCCACTCCTAAAGACCCCTGATGGTTGTTCTAGTCACCCACAGAAGGGGCTGGGTGGTATCCAGAAGAGCAGATGCCCACAAGTACAGACCTCAAGCATCTGTTAATCATCTGCCATCTGCTTGGGATGAAGAGAAAAGGCATGGTGTTTGGTGATTTCCTATTAATGGGAGAGTAGCAACATAGCAGGTAGAACTTGACAGATTTGGCTGGGAAATTTGTGCATCAAATTATTTTCTGAAATATACTCACCCATTCTTGGTGATTTTCTATGAGAACAAATAACACCCTTTGAAGAGCACATGGCTTAGGTACGTGGAGCATTGTTTTGACTATATTGGTATACAAAACTAAATTGTTTAAAACTATTATTTAATCCAGTCTGACTTCAACATGTGGTTATTTATTTAAAAATTGCTTATTTGGTGGGGTGGAGAGAGAGCTCCCATACTCTTGTTTATTCCCCAAGTGGCTGTAATAGCCAGGCCTAGACCAGGCTGAAGCCAGGAGCTGAACCTGGGTCTCCCATGTGGCTGACAGGAACCCAACTTCATGAGCTATCACTTGCTGCTTCCCAAGGAGTGCATTAGAAAGCTGGAATCCGGAGTTGAATCAGGACTCAAACCTGCATACTCCAATGTGGGATGTGGTTGTCCCAACAGGTATTTTAACCATGATTTTTATTTATTTATTTATTTTTGTTTATTTATTTATTTATTTTTATTTTATTTTTTTATTTTTTGACAGGCAGAGTGGACAGTGACAGAGAGAGACAGAGAGAAAGGTCTTCCTTTGCCGTTGGTTCACCCTCCAATGGCCGCCGCAGCCAGCATGCTGCAGCCGGCGCACTGCGCTGATCCGATGGCAGGAGCCAGGTACTTACCCTGGTCTCCCATGGGGTGCAGGGCCCAAGCACTTGGGCCATCCTCCACTGCACTCCCTGGCCACAGCAGAGAGCTGGCCTGGAAGAGGGACAACCAGGACAGAATCCGGCGCCCTGACCGGGACTGGAACCCGGTGTGCTGGCGCCGCAAGGCGGAGGGTGACCAGCACTGTGGTACAGCAGGTTAAGCCATAGCCTGCAAAGCTGGTATTCCAAATGAGCACCTGTTAAAGTCCCAGCTGCTCCTCCTCCTCCTTCCTCCCTCTCCTTCCTCCTCCTCCTTCCTCCTCCTCCTTCCTCCTCCTCCTTCCTCCTCCTCCTTCCTCCTCCTCCTTTCTCCTCCTCCTCCTTCTTCCTGTGACATAGCGGCTTTACTTGCTATGTCATAGCACCGGCCCAACCCTGATGTTAAATGTCCACACTGACATGGTGATTCTTGATTGTGGTTAGGATTATGGCCACCTGAAGGCTCAGCAGAGAAAGAACTTTCACCTTTTCACTGAAAGGAAGCACTTTATGGCTTTTCTTTAGCTGAATTGACAGCATCACCACTCTCGCATTTTGGGGCTATTAGTAGGCAAAGTAAGAGTTACTTGACTATGAACACTGCAGTCCTGTAATAACTGATTTGGTGACGGAGATGAAACAGGGGACTAGAGAGCAGGCGGCATATACAGCATGGATACACTAAACAAAGAGATGATTTCACATTTCAGGTGGAGCAGAATGAGATTTATACTAGTCAGAATGGCATGCAACTTGAAACTTCTGAATTGTGTGTGGAGTTTTCCATTTAATATTTTTGGATCAGAGTTAACCATGAGTAACCAAAACTCTGGAAAATGAAACTTTAGATAAGGGGGAGACTACAGTTCATAGTCTGTGAAGCTTAAAATATTTAATACCTGGCCCTTTCTGGAGAGTTTGCCCACTCCCAATATAAAGCAAAAGTTGATACTAGCAATAACACTCAAAATGCTGTAGAAACTTAAAGGAGAAATCAATTTTGATGACGGGGATACATTTAGGAATGCTTAAAGTTGGAATACTCAAGTTGGACATTGATAATGTGATGCAAATTTCCAGAAGAGGCAGGGCATAACTTTCTCCCTCACTTCCTCTAACCACCAACATCATTCTTGGTTTTTTTTCTTTTACTTTGTTAAAATTGCTTTTTAAGTATTTCATAAAGACTTGACTCTGCATGCTGTCATATATATATATATATATATGTCAGAAAAAGGATCAATCTACAAAGTGTCAAGGCAAGAAGTGAGTGGTCAGCGATTTTTCATTTTAGTATGCAGGTATCCAGAGAAGAGTGGTGTCTAGAATAATAATGACCTAAAAGTCGTGAGGTATGTGATGGTGTTGCATTAAGGTTATAGAATGTAGCATGTCTCTTCTCACAAGAGGTAGGAAACCAGGGAGACCTCAGCCCAACACTAACAACAAGCAAGATAGGAAAGGGATAAACAAGAGAATGGAAGAATGAGAGCCATTTCTGATGTGAAGTGATGGAATGAACTTTGTTTAGACCAGAGAACAGGAGGCTCAGGGAACACGTGGGCAGATGTTTTCAAATAGTTGTCTCATGGAATTGGTTTTGGGTTTATATATGCTGCAGAAAAATTTGTACCAATTAATGTTGGGGAGGGGACGGAATTTCCTGATAATAGATCTAGAGATTGAATGAACAGCCTCAGGAAGGTCCGAGTTTGAGCTCAACAGTCCAGGTGATGGTGCTGGACCAGCTAAGGACGGGAGGTGGAGAGGGGGCGTTCAAGGGCTTGTCAACCCTTCTGTGATTTGATCCTATTAATAAGCAGCAGAAATGACAACATGGCACAAGTAGCACAAGGCTCAAAGGCTCTAAACACAGAGGCCTAATTTCTTCACTTTTGATTCATGATTATCAATCTTTGTTTAGTAGAACTCTGGTTTTGAAAATCCTAACCTTCTTATAGCTACTTCTCCAATCCACTCTTGATGTAGATTGTTTAAAAAAAGTTTTATGTATTTGAAAGGCAGAGTTAGAGAGAGGGAGAGAGAGGTCTTTCATCTGTTGGTTCATTCCCCAAATGGCTACAACAGCCAGGGCTTGGCCAGACCAAAACCAGGAGCCCAGAATTTCATCCAGATGTCCCATGTGGGTAGCAGGGGATCAAGCACCTGGACCATCTTCCACTTCCTTCCTAGGTGCATCAGTTGGCAGCTGGATTGGAAGTGGAGTAGTTGGGACTTGACCGAGTACTTACATGGGATGCTGTCTTTGCAGGTGGCTGCTTAACACACTGCACCACACACTGGCCCTTTGGTGTAGATTTGGATATGCTTCTTGGCCATATTTTTATTTATTTTAAGTCATTTATTTACTTGAGAGGGAGAGACATACAGAGATCTTCCATCCACTGGTTCACTCCTCAAATGCCTACAATAATCAGGGCTGGGCCAGGCTGAAGCCAGGAGCTAAGAACTCAATCTGGGTCTCCCATCTGGGTGCAGGGACCCAACTATTTGAGTCATCACCTGCTGCTTCCCAGGTGCACTTTAGCAGGAAGCTGGAATCAAGTGTTCCACAGAGACTCAAACCCAGGCACTTAAATTTGGGATGCAGGTGTCCCTAGTGATGTCTTAACCACTGCACCAAATGCCAGCCCCTTGGCCATGAATTTTAGATAAGCATGGTTCCAAAAGTTCTTGAAATTTCATATTGCAGCACTTTTGACTGCTTCAACTTAGTGAATCATTTCATTAACTGTTTTTATTTTCATTTTTAAAGATTTTTTTTTGAAAGGCAGAGTTAGAGAGGGAGAGATAGCTTCCATCTGCTGATTCACTTTCGCAATTGCTGCAGTGGGCATGGGCATGGCTGGACCATGAAGCAAGAAGCCTGGATCTCCATTTGTGTCTCCCATGTGAACATAGGGCCCAAGGATTTGGGCCATATTCCACTGCTTTCCTAAGCGCATTATCAGGGAGCCGGATCAGAAGTGGAGCAGCTGGAACTGGAAGCAGCACTCATATGTGATGCCCGTGTTATAATAGGTAGCAGCTTAACCTGCTGTGCCACAATGCCAGCCACCATAACTGTTTGAGTATATCCTGAGCTGAAGCCATTCTTTCATAATTCTAATTTAATTCTCTTTATGGTTTTCTTTCTGTTTCTTACTGAAGCCAAATGGAAAGGTAACACAGCAGTGCTGGCTCCCTGGTCTCTCTTTCCTAGTTACCATATATCCCAATTAGTGGGAGAATTTTCTAATCTGTTTTTTTTTTTTTTTCTCAGACAAAAGAGGATTTCTCCTCCTCTCTGTATTTCCTGGTACTGCTGGAAGTTTGCAGATAATTTGAGTACAATTTTCAGTGCATTCATTAACAACTTCACTGAGGCTCAAACCTGTGAGCATGGTTGAGAGCACAAACAACTTTCTATTATAGGGGCCACATCTCTATTACAGGGGCTGGTAACAAATCCACCCTTAACCAGCATGTATATTTCCAAAACATGTCCAGTGGAATTTAAAAGGTTGTAAGAACCAAACTATAAAAGAGGTTTCACCTCAAGATGTTATTTTCCCAGATTACACTCTTGTCTTGTATCAGGAGCCCTTGAGGACTGAGTGCAAAGCAATAAACAATGGGGTGATTTTCTGGAATTTGGAAGGAATATAAAAGAAGGTGTCAATGGTGAGAGTTTTGTTGCCCTTCAAATGCCACTTTGGGCTTGTTTACAGACGTCTAGGTCTTATTTAGAACCAAAATATTAACAAAATAAAAATAATGTTCCTCATTTTCTTGAATCAAGCAAGATAAAGCCACCAAAAATGGTCCTGTGATTCTAGGAAGATAGAAATTGGATGAGTATGAGTAACAAAGCCATTCTTTT